GTTTGTGTTAACAGGTGAATGATTTATATAATGTTCCCAAACAGGAAACCTTAGAAATAGGATTATTTGATCCGTTATCACATTGTTTTATAACTACTCCTAGGAGTTTTATTTGGCTGCTTAGCCCCTTGTAGGGAAATTGTTTTTTTTTCATGCACTGCCTCCTGGAAACTTTGTTGTAACTATAGTATTATAAGCAAGCCTCTTTATACTTACATCTCTTATTAGTGCTTAACATCCACTTCTTTTCTTTCATCCTATTGATAACTTTCAAATGGTGTGTTGTATCAGGTGGGTGGGGCCATCTCAGGATTGAATACATTTAGGTGATGGTTGTTTGTTTTCCGAGCTAAGCACTCACACCTGAAAGTTGAATTAATCACCAGGCTCTTTCGTTCTGTATCTGAGTGGTATGTATTTTTGGTACTGGCATTTCAGAATCTGGTTTTCTTCTCTTACTAACTCTGCATGGAGTTTTTGAAGGGCTTCCTAAGGCACTGAGTAAATACGTTTCTAATAATGCAACTACCTGAAGGTGAGAGTTTTTTGGTCTTTTTTTTTTTTTTTTTCCTTTTCATGTTTTAGATCTTTAGGATCCATTTGAGACGATATTATACCTGCCATTTTTCCCATTATGGGAGACTGCTGTGCTGAATGTGGGTGCCTGATTCTCAATCACAGCATCTTTCCTTTGAGTCGGAAAGAGCAAATAGCCCTCCATTCAGGGATCCAGGTAGCACTAACCACTCTCCACTCTCAAATAGTCGCAGTAATTTAAGCCATCAGAGACCAACACCACTTCAGCACCATCGCCTGGAGAACAAAGCAGTTACAGCCAAATTTCATGTGGTTTTCTTTCATGATTTGAGCTCCTTCTGAGAAATATATCAAGAGTTATGCAGGAATATTTCGAAACTGCTTTGTTGACAGTGTTCTAGCGGGGGTCTTTATCAAATAACAACTGTGACATCTTACCTGGCTTTATGAGAAGTGCTCTGATTCAGGTTACAGCTAGCGGCTCGGTTCTAAGTATTTCTCCATTCAGAAGAATCTTTGAAAGGATGAAGTTTGGGAGGAAAAAACAAAGCAGAAAGCCTGGATATCTTTAGACTTTTAAGATGCTCTGAATATCAAAGTTCACTAAATGTACTAACTTAAACCCTAAAACAAAAACACTGTGTGTGATCTATAGCGTAGAAAAATATACTAGTTAGAAATACACCTCCTTGTTGTCAGCTCAAATGCCATGCATGTTTATACTCTTACTATGTTTGCACATATCCATAAAATCAATGTCATTGATTTATATCATTTGAAATTGTATGTCAGTGTTGTCATATGTGTATTGGGTTGTTGGAAAGTCACGACATAGTTTTCTATGTTTTTCTTTTTTTTTGAGAGATTTTTGCTATAGGGCACATGCGCGAGACAGAGAGACAGAAAGCAAGAAATCACCCCCTGGGGGGTATGGCCATGCCGTAAACCCTTCTTCTCCTTCCTTCTATAGGGATTTTGGACATGCATGTACACGTGCCCAGTGTGAGTCTCAAGCCACTGGGTCAGGGACTCGAACCATTGTCGGCCATGTGGCAGTCCAGTGCTTCCACCACTATGCCACCTGCTGGCCCCATTTTTCTATGCAAAAACGCATCATGACTTTTCCGACAACCCAGTAGATCCTTTTGTTGCTTCTTTAAAAAGAAAATCTAATGTTAGATTTGATTAAATTATCCACATTTGCAATGATATATCCAGTACACCGATTTTCCACTCCTCTATAGAAGGTTAACGTTTATTTATTCATCCTCCCACTAAAAGAAGTCAAGCATTTAGGGCTTTACAAGAAACCTAGAAAGAAAAGAGAATTGAAGTCGTAGATAGTTTCTCAACTCTGCTTTGACATCTTAGCGCATAGATATGTTGGATCAGTAAAAATGCTTTTTTTTCCCCATTAAATAAATGGTAAATATATATGGTTATTTGGAATGAACTAGGGATCTTTATAAAAACACATGCTCTTGTGAATTCAACTTCGGAAGTTCTGCTAAAGGATTTATAGGACAAAAGAATTATATATTTTTAGAATTATGTATTTTTACTTAAGAAAAATGTATCAGTTGAGATGCCACTTCCCTGATATAGCTTACTTTTTATTTATTTATTTATTTATTTTTATAAAGAGATTTTTGCTATAGGGCTCATGTGCTCGCTGGAGAGACAGAGAGAGACAGAGAGACAGAAAGCTGGAAATCACTCCCCAGAGGGATGCCACACTGCAATCCCATCTCCCTTTTCCTCTTGGAATTCTGGGCATGCATGCACAAATGCCCGGCATGACTGTTAAGCCACCAGTTCTGGGACATGAACCGTGGTAGACTATGTGGGAATTCAGCAATGTAACCATTACACCATCTGCTGGTCCCTAGTTGATTTTTTAAAAATAAGAGTACTCTCTCTAGCAGGAGTTGTCTGAAAATTAATCTAAAGAAGTGATGTAGGTATAAAAATACAAAGTTTTGCCTTAGATTCTGATTAGAATGAAATGAATCTGCTTTAACTATTTATGTCCAGAAAATATGTATAACTAAGAAAGGAGTCAGCACTACTGGCATCCCTGAATATCCAAATGATTTACACCTCAAAACAAAAACAAAGATGAAATTAAAATGCTTCATCTGTGAAAGAAAAATACCTGAAGGTGGGAGTTTTTTGGTTTTTTTTTTTTTTTTTTTCCTTTTCATGTTTTAGATCTTTAGGATCCATTTGAGACGATATTATACCTGCCATTTTTCCCATTATGGGAGACTGCTGTGCTGAATGTGGGTGCCTGATTCTCAATCACAGCATCTTTCCTTTGAGTCGGAAAGAGCAAATAGCCCTCCATTCAGGGATCCAGGTAGCACTAACCACTCTCCACTCTCAAATAGTCGCAGTAATTTAAGCCATCAGAGACCAACACCACTTCAGCACCATCGCCTGGAGAACAAAGCAGTTACAGCCAAATTTCATGTGGTTTTCTTTCATGATTTGAGCTCCTTCTGAGAAATATATCAAGAGTTATGCAGGAATATTTCGAAACTGCTTTGTTGACAGTGTTCTAGCGGGGGTCTTTATCAAATAACAACTGTGACATCTTACCTGGCTTTATGAGAAGTGCTCTGATTCAGGTTACAGCTAGCGGCTCGGTTCTAAGTATTTCTCCATTCAGAAGAATCTTTGAAAGGATGAAGTTTGGGAGGAAAAAACAAAGCAGAAAGCCTGGATATCTTTAGACTTTTAAGATGCTCTGAATATCAAAGTTCACTAAATGTACTAACTTAAACCCTAAAACAAAAACACTGTGTGTGATCTATAGCGTAGAAAAATATACTAGTTAGAAATACACCTCCTTGTTGTCAGCTCAAATGCCATGCATGTTTATACTCTTACTATGTTTGCACATATCCATAAAATCAATGTCATTGATTTATATCATTTGAAATTGTATGTCAGTGTTGTCATATGTGTATTGGGTTGTTGGAAAGTCACGACATAGTTTTCTATGTTTTTCTTTTTTTTTGAGAGATTTTTGCTATAGGGCACATGCGCGAGACAGAGAGACAGAAAGCAAGAAATCACCCCCTGGGGGGTATGGCCATGCCGTAAACCCTTCTTCTCCTTCCTTCTATAGGGATTTTGGACATGCATGTACACGTGCCCAGTGTGAGTCTCAAGCCACTGGGTCAGGGACTCGAACCATTGTCGGCCATGTGGCAGTCCAGTGCTTCCACCACTATGCCACCTGCTGGCCCCATTTTTCTATGCAAAAACGCATCATGACTTTTCCGACAACCCAGTAGATCCTTTTGTTGCTTCTTTAAAAAGAAAATCTAATGTTAGATTTGATTAAATTATCCACATTTGCAATGATATATCCAGTACACCGATTTTCCACTCCTCTATAGAAGGTTAACGTTTATTTATTCATCCTCCCACTAAAAGAAGTCAAGCATTTAGGGCTTTACAAGAAACCTAGAAAGAAAAGAGAATTGAAGTCGTAGATAGTTTCTCAACTCTGCTTTGACATCTTAGCGCATAGATATGTTGGATCAGTAAAAATGCTTTTTTTTCCCCATTAAATAAATGGTAAATATATATGGTTATTTGGAATGAACTAGGGATCTTTATAAAAACACATGCTCTTGTGAATTCAACTTCGGAAGTTCTGCTAAAGGATTTATAGGACAAAAGAATTATATATTTTTAGAATTATGTATTTTTACTTAAGAAAAATGTATCAGTTGAGATGCCACTTCCCTGATATAGCTTACTTTTTATTTATTTATTTATTTATTTTTATAAAGAGATTTTTGCTATAGGGCTCATGTGCTCGCTGGAGAGACAGAGAGAGACAGAGAGACAGAAAGCTGGAAATCACTCCCCAGAGGGATGCCACACTGCAATCCCATCTCCCTTTTCCTCTTGGAATTCTGGGCATGCATGCACAAATGCCCGGCATGACTGTTAAGCCACCAGTTCTGGGACATGAACCGTGGTAGACTATGTGGGAATTCAGCAATGTAACCATTACACCATCTGCTGGTCCCTAGTTGATTTTTTAAAAATAAGAGTACTCTCTCTAGCAGGAGTTGTCTGAAAATTAATCTAAAGAAGTGATGTAGGTATAAAAATACAAAGTTTTGCCTTAGATTCTGATTAGAATGAAATGAATCTGCTTTAACTATTTATGTCCAGAAAATATGTATAACTAAGAAAGGAGTCAGCACTACTGGCATCCCTGAATATCCAAATGATTTACACCTCAAAACAAAAACAAAGATGAAATTAAAATGCTTCATCTGTGAAAGAGAAAACCCAAATAATTATGTTATTTTAGCCATTATGGGGTGGGACTATTTGGTATGTTATTAAAAATCACGTTTTCTGAGTCTAGGCCTTACAGAAGTTTGCCGTTGGTTATGGGGTGATTGCAACTTATGACTTTTTTGTTGTGTTTCCAGCACAGTGATGCGGTCCATGACCTTCTTCTGGATGTGATCACGTGGGTTGGAATTTTGCTGTCCCTTGTTTGTCTCCTGATTTGCATCTTCACATTTTGCTTTTTCCGCGGGCTCCAGAGTGACCGTAACACCATCCACAAGAACCTCTGCATCAGCCTCTTTGTAGCAGAGCTGCTTTTCCTGATCGGCATCAACCGAACTGACCAACCAGTAAGCAACTTGCACTCACCTTGTTGGAGAATGTCTCCACTTCCAACTTTCCCACAGAGCCAATCATGGAAATATTTATGCTTGAAATACTGTGTTTAACAACTTTCTTCCAGTCGTCTAAGATAGATACGAATGATCAGATCATACTCAGTTTTCCATTTTTCATATCGCATTGTCATAGAAAAGCATGGAATGTTCTAGATGATGTATGCATTTCTTTGTTTTTCCTGATAGATTTATTAATTTATATCTGTATTTCTTTGTGTTTCCTGATAGATTTATTAATTTATATTTGTAATTCTGTCTTTTTTTGTAAGTGTGTATGTCTTTTTTTTTTTCTAAGTTGCCAGTGAGCCCATGTTCTCATGAGATAGAGAGAGAAATCACCTCCTAGTAGACCATGGTCATGCTACAGCTTTTATCCTCCATTTTCCCATCCTGTCAGAATTTGGACATGCATGTATACATGTGTTTTCCATCCCACAGCTGAGATTTGAACCTGTGATCAGCCATATGGAATCCAATTCCCAATGCACGAAGTTTACCCAGTACATTGCAGAGCTGCTCCTTGATTGATTTTTTCCAGAGAAGTTTTGGTTTATAACAAATTCAGTCAAAGGTGCAGAGGTTTCTCATGTAACCTCTGCTCCACACAAGCCTAATTTTCTGCACTACCGACATCCCTCACAGTGGTGCATTTGTGACAGCAGATGAACCTATATGTACACGTCATTATCACGTGATATCTCTACACTTAGAGTATCATGCAGGGTATTTTCATTGCCCTGTGCTCCTTCTATTCTTCCTCCTTCTTCCTTAACCCATGGAAACTACCCGTGTCTTTAACTGCTTCCATAATTTTACCTTTCCAGGGTATCAAATAATTGAAATCATACAGTATGTAGTTTTTTCAGATTGACTTCTTTCCTTAGTAATATATATTTAAATTTCCTCTATCTTTATATTTATGATTGATGGCATCTTTCTTTTGACCACTGAATAATATTTTATTGTCTGATACACCAGTTTATTTATCCACTCACCTCTTTAAGGATATTTTTTGCTTCCAAGTTTTGCCAATTAGCTATAAAGCTGCTATACACAACCTGGTTTTTTTTGTTGTTGTTGTTCAAATATAAGTTTTCAGGGACCAGCAGTTGGCATAATGTCTATGTCACTGGACTCCCATGTAGTTGATCATGGTTCGAATCCCAGACCTGGTGGCTTAAACTCACACTGGGTGTGAAGCATGCATGCCCAGTATCTCAAGAGAAGAATGGAGGAGAAGGAATTGTGGCATGGCCACCCCTTCTGGGGGATGATTTCTACCTTTCTGTCTCTCTGTCTTTCTGGCGAGCTCACGTCTCCTATAGGAAAAACCTCTCAAAAAAAAAACCCTCCTCAAGGAAAAACCCCCCAAAAAAAAAAAAAAAAAAAGAACAAAACATACACACACACACACACACACACACACACACCCCAAAAAAACCCCAAAAAACATAAGTTTTCAATTCCTTTGGGTAAATACCAAGGAGCACAATTGCTACATCTTACGATAAGAACATGCTTAGTTTTCTAAGAGGGACTAGCAGATGGCATAATGGTTACGTTACTGGACTCCCACGTGGCCAACTGCAACTTGAGTCTGGACCCAGAGGCTTGTAGCTCATGCCAGGTACATATGCATGCATGCTCAAAGTCCCAAGAGGAGAACAGAGAAGAGGGATTGTGTAGTGGCCATCCCCTGTGGGGGGTGATTTCTTGCTTTCTGTGTCTCTGTCTCTCCATCAAGTGCATGTGCCCTATAGCAACAGCTCTCTCAAAAACAAAACAAAACAAAACAAAACAGAGTACGCTTAGTTTTGTAAGAAACCACCAACTGTCTTCGAAAGTATCTATATAGTTTTGCATTCCCATCAATGGTAAATGAGATATACATTTCTTTGGAAATTCTGTTTTATAAGCTTGTCTTTCTAAAGAACTATCACTTTAATTATGGCATTTCTTTTTCTTCTCTTATTTTTAATCACAGAGCCAAATATTGAGGAAAGTTTAATAAGATCATTTAAACAGTGGAAAAATATATTTTATAGATATATTTGTTGAGGTTTATAATATCCCTTGAAAACATTTTATGTTATATTAAAATGTACATGTTAAAAAGTTTTTCCTGTAGTATTCCTTTTCAGAATGTATATACTGTTACCAAATTTTATTTGGCACGTTACCTTTGCCTGAGTTCTTTCCACCTCTTTTGTTTTTAAGAGAGATTTTTGCTATAGGGCATGTGTGCTCACTGGAGAGAAAGAGAGACAGAAAACAAGTAAGTCACTCCCCCCGGAGGAATGGCCATGCCATGGTCCCTTGTCTTCCATTCTCCTCTCAGGATTTTGTGCAGGCATGCATGCACACATGCCCAACCTGAGTTTTAAGCTATTGGGTCCAGGACCTTCAACTATGTGGGAGTTCAGTGACATTACTATTACACCCTCTGCTGTACCATTTTTCTTTTTTTAAGGTTTTTGTCATAGGGTGTGTATGTTTGCCATAGACACAATGAGAGGGAAAGCGAGAAATAACTCCCACAGGAGGGATGGCCTCTTCTCTGTTCCTTCTCCTTCACTCCTCTCCTGGGAATCTGGGCATGCACACACATGTACCTGACATGATTCTAAATTCTCCAGGTCCAGGACTTGAACTGTGGTCAGCCATATGGGAGTCCAACACCTTAACTAGCCCACCACCTGCCTGCCTCGTTTTTTCACGTTTTTAAGTGCTACCTTTGTACTTTACAGCTATGTACATTTATTCATATCCAGGAAAAGAGGATGGGGAAGGAAAGGGAAAAAAGGAACAACACTAGACAATTGGTCTTGGTAAAACATAACAAAATATAAATAACAGACGATATCTAATGCATTACCCAGATTTTATGCCCACTTGTAATTTTTATGAAGCCCTTTCTGTTGACTTGCACCTGGTATAAGTTTTTTCTGTGACTAAAACTGCCAATGAAGAGAAAACTCCAGTTTTCAGCAGACTCGTGAGTGTAATAAGTAGCCGATTCACTTGGTGCCATTCTCTGGTATGTGTCCATGTGCGTGGCGTTGGAGTCCTTTACAATGAAAATGCAGTTGGATTCGTGTTTGTGATTACACATTCACGATTAATGACTGTAAAGGGTGCAATTATGGTGATTATATTTTTAATCGGTTATCATATACTAATGTGACAGCTTTTACCATAAAGGCATACATATGAATGAGCAATCAAAAACACACGTTCTTCCCTCCCAAAAGTAAAGCCTTAGATACAAATTAATAGTTGAAGTTCTAACTCTACCAAAGCACAAAATGGAACATTGTGTTATTTTCTAAGACGATATCAATTTATTTTCTTGTTCACCTGCCATTTAAATACTGTGTGATTTCTTTTCATTTAGAACCTTATTCTTATTTTCATTTCCTGATGTTTCATATGCCATGATAAACTTCACCGAATGTTACGTACTATGCAAAACTAATTTCTAGTAAATAACATAAAGAGCAATAATTGCAAAATGTGGGTAGAGTGCATTTTAGCCACACTTGGGTGTTTTTATTCTTATTGCTGATTCATTGTCCTTTTCTACATCCAGCATCATGTTTGAAACTTGATATCTCTCTGGCCTCTCATCCACTGACTTCCTCAACTCTTTTTCATTGTCCTTTTTCCAACCAGTGAAATTGACCTGCCGTTTGTCTTATGTCCTAAGGATCACATTCATCAATGAACCCATACCACACTAATTATTTCTATATATTTGTTGACCTTTTTTTTTTTTAGTAGGAGCTAGTGATTTTAGCTAGGACTTTTTATTTTAAAAAAGGGAAGAAGCTAAAAAAGAGAGAATTTCAGGAGCTGATATAAATTTCTCACTTAAAAGTGGAAATTTCAGCTGGTCAGCTGAAACTTGTAGTGCCTTAGAAAATATACAAAAGAAGGGCTCACTGACCTTTTTGACCAGGCTTGTCTAGACCAATTAGTAGGAGCTAGTGATTTTAGCTAGGACTTTTTATTTTAAAAAAGGGAAGAAGCTAAAAAAGAGAGAATTTCAGGAGCTGATATAAATTTCTCACTTAAAAGTGGAAATTTCAGCTGGTCAGCTGAAACTTGTAGTGCCTTAGAAAATATACAAAAGAAGGGCTCACTGACCTTTTTGACCAGGCTTGTCTAGACCAATTTTTAGTACCCCCCCCAAAAAAAAATCAAAGAAAGAAAGCACTTCTAAAATACTTTATTTTAAACAGATTCACTTCTACACCTATGCAGCACGAACTTTCCAATGATGCATTAAATCCTTTCTGAAACAAGGCAAGAAGAAGTAAATCAGCAATTACTAGTAATTAATAATCTTGCCAAAAAAGGATGCAATATATAGTGCTATTTAGTTTTAAGAGCTTTTAGTCCCCCTTAATTTTTTTCTAAAGAATTATTTACTTAAGTTTATTTATTTACTCATTTTTTAATGTGGTTTAACCAGACACACACACACACACAAACACACACAGAGAGAGAGAGAGAGAGAGAGAGAGAGAGAAAGTAAGAAAGCAAGCCACCAGGCCCAGGTCTTGAACTCTCGTTGGCCATGTGGGAGTGTCCAGCACCTTAACCACCACGCCACCTGCTGGCCCCTTTTTTTAAAAAAAAGAATTATTTACTTAAGTTTATTTACTTATTCATTTTTATTTTTAATTTGACAAGAGAGACACAGAGAGAGAGAGAATGTGAGAAAGCAAGAGTCCCCCTTAATTTTAATGTCACTCTTTCATTTATAATTAAAGAATGTAATGTATAAATATACATGTGACTATGGCCAAGAGAAATAATTCCTGAAATCAAATTTTAAATCTTTTAACTAATCTTAGTAATAATTAACCATAGGCTATTACTAGATTTTTTCCCTAAATATTACCATTGTTTTCTTATTCTAACACTACACTCTTATCCACCAGCCATTATTCATATCACAAGCAGTTTTCAAAGATAGATTATATTTAATAAGTTTGTAATTTTATTTTATTTTTTGCTATAGGGCATGCGCACTTGCCTGAAGAGACAAAGAGACAGAGAGAGAGTGAGAAAGCACCCCAGAGGGGGAATGACCATACCACAGTCCCTTCTCTTCTACTATCTTCTCATGATTTGTGGCATGTACACACATGCACCTGGTATGTTATTCAAACTGCCAGGTCCAGGATTCAGATGGTGCAGTTGGCCCTGTGGGATCCAGTGCCTTAACCACCAAGCACACCTGGCTGGCCATGCAGTATTTGTTTTTTAAGCATCATGTCTAGATCATTCCTTGTCAGGTCAAGTTTATTACTGAAGTCTTGCTAAATATTTATTTTGCTTTAATGCCAGCCGACATATGTTTCCTTTGTAGTGATCTGACTGAACCATTTGTTCTTTTTCCTAGATTGCCTGTGCTGTTTTCGCTGCCCTCTTACATTTCTTCTTCTTGGCCGCCTTTACCTGGATGTTCCTGGAGGGCGTGCAACTCTATATCATGCTTGTGGAGGTTTTTGAGAGTGAACATTCACGTAGGAAATACTTCTACCTGGTCGGTTATGGGATGCCCGCACTTATTGTGGCCGTGTCGGCTGCGGTTGACTACAGGAGTTATGGGACAGACAAAGTGTAAGTTGTTTCCTTTTTTCTCCTCTCCCTCTTTTTAAATCTTGTTGAAATAAAAGCTTTGGATTGTCTTGGAAGCTAAGGTCTTTAGATGACTTCACAGCGATAAATGAAGGAACTGGAGAAGTACCTGGGTGTGTTCCCATCTGTGGGGATATTTTCGTTATGATGCCAAAAGGAAAAAAATAAAATTATTCCCTAGACTCAGTGAGCTGTTGTGTTAAAACAGCATACTTTGTCACTTTACTCCATAACCTTGAGTAATTAGAGAGAGAAGATCATGTGAATATCTTTCAGAGTATTAGCATTTGTCAGACGAAGAACTAGCTAGCTGAGAAGTTGCGTCTTATTAGAGGACAGTGCAGTTCCTGACATCGGTGGCTTTTCTTTTCCTGACGTGTCAGTTCTAGTTACTGGAAAGATTTTGACATCATTAACACAAGCCCATAGGAGCAGGGGCAGCTTGTGTTTGTCCTTCCATTTCTAGGTGGGTATAGGGGTATAGTGATGAATTTTATTTTCAGTCTGTCAGTTGATGAGACCTATCTATGGACATCTCTAGCATACTAGAAAGGAATTCAGTTAAAATATTTTTGTAATCTTTGTACATGTAACAGTTGATATCCTGAGAATAAATGAAAGTTTCTATGGAAGGTTAGAAATAGAGAACCGAGGTAGATCTGTGCTGAATACCCACATTTTGAACCTAGAGCAAAAGAAGGAAAATAAAAGTAGAGAAAGAGAAGAGGTAAGCAGAGTCTTAGAAAGAGAACCACAAGATTCAGGGTCAAAGAAAGTAAAAGGAAGTTTGAGGATGATGCAAAATATCACTGGCGATATTTTATGTCAAAGATAATTTAGGTAGGATAAGTACTAAGGAAACATTTTTTGATTTTTCCAACATCTATTTCAACAAAGTGCTGGAAGGGGAAGCCAAATGAAAGGTGTGAGGACAGAAGTTGGTGGTAAGAAAGTAGAGTCTTCATGTATTATTCATACCCCTGAACCTAAGTGATTGAAGAGTAATGAAAATACTAAGCTACGTGATAATGCTAATGAGGGAGGATTTGAAAAGATGAAGTCTTAAGCATGTCTGGGTGAGCAGAATCAAGATGACAGGAGGAGATAATTGGAGAGAAAGTAACTTACACCTCATTTGTATTTCAACACGTGAGCTAAATGAAAGGCATAGGTCTTAAGGAGCAGAGAGACGTGAGACTAAACTCAAGCTTAGGGAAACCTTGATTTTGACTGAAAGCGGCCTTAGGGTTCACCTAGCCCATGGCATTAATTTTCCAGATGAGAAAATTAAAGGGCTCAGTAAATGAATTGCCCTGTCATTAGTCATAGAGCTAGAGAGTGGCTGACCTGCGATAAGGCAAGTCAGGTACAGTTTTAATAAAGTAGGATTTTTTTTTTTATAAAATAATAAAATGATCTTTCTTTCCTGAAGTGAGTATGAAACAAAGAACAGCTAAGGTAAATTTTGAAACAGAGGAACTTTCCGATCAAGTAGAAGAGGCTGACTTTTGTGGCATGATTGAGGGGAGGTCACGTTGAGAGGACAAGAGACTTGTAAAGCTTCGGAATGAGCACTATGAAAAATGTGTTAAAGGAGCCAATTAGATATTAACCAAGAAGATTTCCAAGCAGCAGTGAAGGCTCCGATGAGGTTAGATAACATCAATTTGAGCAGAAGTTAATAAGCCAAGTTTCATGACTTTCTACCAGCAATCAGCAGTGTGAACATGCTGGCAGGAACACAGCTTGCTTCCCAGAAGTGAGGATTCATGAGGAGGGAACGACAAAAATAGGACACCACAGTTACTGGGAGCATCGTTAAAATAGCATATGTGTTGGTACATAGGTACCGAGGATGCAATTAAAAGAAGGCTGTCTAATTTCTGTAGAGTTTTTTTTGTTTTTTTTTTTCTCGAATACAGTGACAGGCTATCTATTTATCTGTCTCTATAGATACACATGCCATTAAGCTAAATGTAACTGATAGCAATTTATGGTAGTCTAACTTCTATAAAAATGGGCTACAGAGTACATGAACTCATTGGAGAGAGACAGGATGAGAGGGAAAAACTGAGAACACAGACCCCAGAGGTATAACCACACCTCAGTCCCTTCTCCATTTTCCTCTTAGGATTTTGGGTACACACACACATGTGCCCAGTGTGGTTTTAGTGCCTCCAGATCCTAAATCGAACCGTGTAATTAGCCATTAAGAATATAGCTACCCCAATCACCATGTCGCCAATTGGCTCCTAATCTCACTTTTATGAATTACGGTCAAATCTGAGTTCATTTCGTTGGTCCCAGTTACAACTCTGCAATGGATTAGGAATAGAAAAAATTTCTGGGTAGCCCCTAAAGACATCTTACAGAAGAGGGGACATAAGATCATAGAAATGTTCTTTGTTTAATAGCGACTTTATTAACATCATGAACTAAAATTTGCTCCTTTAAATTGTACGCTTCAGTTGTTTTCACATTTCACTTGTATGTTCACAGTGCTGTCCAGTCACCTCCAGTAATTTTAGGACATTGTCATCAATCCAAAAACCAATCTAGTAGGAGTCACTCTGTCTAGATCATAGGATTTTACATTTTGAATAGTACATTTCTCCCCGTAAGAAATGAAGTTGGATGATACAGTTATTTGTGACCTTAGACTAGTTGAAATATTATTCTTAGGTCATATTGCTGTTGAATTTATTTTTTCTCTCTTGGGTCTTGATTTGCTTTTGTTTTTGTTTAATGTTGGCTTTTGTTTTTTCTCCTAAAGAATTTGGATGTTTTCTTGTTACTAGCCACTCAGTTCTTTCCTTTATATTTTAGTGATTTCTTTTGAGACAGATGTCATTTTCTGGACAGTAGAAATTTATCTTTTCTTAGAATCAATAATATGTAGTCTCTTGTGACTTTGGTAAAGCTTTGGCAATCATTGTTTTAATTTCCTGTACCATAACCGGGAGTTCTCATTTACTAATATTACTACTGTGTAGGAAGAGAGGTTAATTTATTTCCCAGGCATTGCTCTAAACCAAGCCTTAATAATCGTTCAGCTTCAAATGTGTGCTTTTTCCCAGTGCAAGATGAAGCAAAATACATATGAAGAAAGGGGAGGTTATATGAAAGAGAAAGAGACGAGGGTGAAGGAGAATTGCATAAAAATTCAATTTTGTGTCATCACAAAGCACTTGCATATCTCATTTGTTCATTTTAAATAAGCTGTCCACAGAGAGGCTTTCAGACTACATACAGGAAATATTAAACTTTAAACATGTTTAATTCCCTTTGAGAAGTCCTCCAGTCCAGTCTCTAGGCAGCGCTGTTGCGCCCACTGAAGAAGCAGGTGTGGGAAAAAACTGTTATGTAGTCATTGATGCTTACTTGAGAGGCTGAAATGAACAGATCACATTTCCAGTAGGGCTTAATCAGCACGTCTTCTCGAAGAAAAATATGAGCAAATAATTTTTACACAACTCTGAGGATTTCTGAATATAGAATTATGTATCTTGTTTCTTCTTCTCCAATCTGATTCTGGGGTTCCACTTTCTGTTACTCCTGTTTATTGTTTTTATTTTATTTCATAAGGCATTGCCCACCTATTGTTTACCATATGCCACCATTTCATGTCACTCTGCTTTGCCGATTTTGTTGGATTTTTTGGATGCTGTTATCTTCTTATGTGCTACATTATTTTTTTAAATACAAGCGTCATTGGGAGGGGCGTGGAGCCCCCTTCTTAGGAAAAAGGGTTCTTGACTTTGTCCAGGAAAGAATTCAAAAATGAGTCAGAAACAGGCAAAGCAGAAGAGCTTATTGCAAGACGGTTGCCCACTCTGCAGTCACAGTATGGATTCTCCTCTTCTAGCTGGGTCAGGGGTTGATATTGGGACACTTGTAAGAAGATCGTGAGGAGAAAGCAGGAAGAGGAAGGGTTTTCTTTTCTACATAGGCATGGTAGCTGTTCATGTGTCTTCAACCATCGCAAGTATCATCAGCATTCCCAACTTCCCCCAGGGTGTAAACTGTACCGTGGAAATAAGTCACAGTTGATCTTCAGGTCAACTTTGCTTCTCCATTTTGACTGCTCTTGGATTTGACTGGTCCTTAAACTGCAGCAGCTCATGGTCAAGTAACATGGCTTGTGATGGACTACATCTTGTAGAAAACATGCTGAGAGGAAGACATAAGGTTACCTCATGACCTTATTATGGCCTTTAGCTTTAGGGAAGCTAGTCTTATCTTCCCATTATTCTGGCCTTGCTATCCTACTTCTCATTTGCCAATCCCTTCCCTTAGTTTTTTTTTTTTTTTTGGAGGTTTTTGTTATAGGGCGCGTGCGTTCCCCAGACAGAGAGAGAGACAGAGAGATAGAAAGTGAGAAATCACCCCTAAGGGGGATGACCACACCGCAACCCCTTCTCCTCCTTTCTCCTCTCGGGATCTTGGGCATGTACGCACACACGCCCGGTGTGAGTTTAAGCCACCGGGTCCGGGACACGAACTGCGGTTGACTATGTGGGAGTCCAGCGACATAGCCGTTATGCTAACTGCTGGTCCCCCTTCCCTTAGTTTTGCTGTCTCATGAGGGTGTATAGTTCACAGTCTGAAATAAACTAGAATTAGCCAGAATTCAGAGATCAGTCAGACATTTTCTGTAAGTTCTTAGTAAGCCCAATTAAGTAAATTCTTATATCTCGAAAGTCTTTTTCTTTTACTTAAAAAAAAACTCTGTATAATGTATTTTTTAAATTTATTTTTATACATTGAATCACTATATATCATTACAGCTTGTAAAATGAATTTTCTCAGCATGAATACACCGTATACTAGCCCAGCTAAAGATATTATCATACACATTATTATCAACAGATAATTTTCCATTTTTGTGTACCTTAGATGTTTTGCTTCTCTCTTTTGGAAGTTCATGACTCTTAAATTTCAACTTCTTAATCGCACACAGTTCAATTACATCTAGAATAAAA